GCTTCAACGCTCATGGCTGAACAAGGACAGTGTCTGTGGTGAGTTAGAAAAATTAAGCCAACAACATTTCGCCTCACCTGACATTAAGTAATGGTTTTTATTTAAGAAGCGTATAGTTTCATACTTTTCAAATTTGCGTGTTCCGGGAGTAAAATAAAAAAAATTCTCTTGTTGCACTGTTGTACAAGATATGTTTTCCCTCCTTTGCTTTAATACAAAGGTCTACTGTTGTGTTTTAGACACTCTGGTTCCTAGGGTACACAACATTGAGGGCTTTATCTGGCCAAAATGATCACGAAAAATCCACCGCTCGTCTAATATATTTATGAGTCCGTTTGTCTGCACGCTGCATGATCACGTAAAGCCATTCATGTCTTGTATCACGACGCTATGTAGGTTACAAGAGCTAACCGTCCTCAGGCCCTGTTGGTGCTGAAGCAGTGTGTGAGTGCAGGGCAGCGGGGAGAGGGGGGTCAATCGTGCAGCATTGTTTTGTTTCATCTGTACGGTAATTTGGTTTGGTGGTGTCACAAACTGTTTAAACAAATTATAATTTATTAAGTTAAATCATTTTGTTGTGATATTTATCTTATAATTACTATAAATACAAGTTAATGTTCTCCTTTTATCTTACAGAGAAATCCCCTGGATGAGGAACTCTGACTGTCTATCAACAGGTATGTTTGGCAACAGATGATATTTTATGACACCACATTTCACAGAGTATGTAAATTAGACCTGTACAATAAAAAAAAATATAAATATAAATTAAAGAGTTTATGTAAGCTATAACTCCAAGTGTCTGCTGTTCTTCACGTTTTACACCAATCTTTGAATTAATGTCCATCAAGAATCCCAAAGAAAATCTTATGTAATGTTTTCTGCATTGACACAGATTACTCTGAGGATAGCTGATTAAAAAAAAGCTTTTGGTTTCATCTGACTGCATTAAAATGGTGTGACAGCATAGTTAATATACACAGGCCTCTATCCAGATCATGATACTCATTCAACTAATATCCTACATATAATCTAACAGCCAAGGTTTAGTGTGAACATTTTTAGCGGTTTGATAAAAACTCCTTATCAACTTAATTTATGTAACTTATTCGACAACAAAAACCAATACTTCATAATTTATACTAATAAATAAGGTAATTTATCTCTTAAATGTTAAGATGTATATTAATTATTAGATATATTGGTATTATTGGCAAATCGTTTTTCTTATCATCAGAGTTTTTGGATCTATGGGATGGAAGTGTAAGATCTGCAAGTCTTTGTGCACCACAAAGGGGAATCTACTAAAGCATTACAGACTACATCACGCAACATTTGGTCGTGGACAATCCCAGCCGTGCCTGTATGAAGGATGCCCTTGTTCATTTAAAACGCAGAGTGCCCTTCGCACACATTTGTCACGATACCATGCAGCTGAAGACTGTCAACAGCCAGCTGTTTTTAACTGTTTAGTTTGCAAAGCTTGTTCTTGTACAGAAAAGGACTACTGTCAGCATCTTGGAAATCATCTGAAGAGCCATGAAACAGTTTTTTGTGTTTTTAAAGGATGCAACTTTAGGACAAACATCTACAACACATTTTTGAAACACAAAAGCAGGCGACACAAGTCCTGTTCTTTGAGTGATTTCAAGGAAGACGTGCACGGAAGTCACCAAAATCAGAGTGTGGAGTTGTCTGATCTCCAAGAGTCTAGTGATAGTGAGGGCACCAGCTTAGCTTGTGGTCAGGAAAGTTCATCGTTTTTAGTTCTTCAAAGAATTGACCTTCTTCTGCTTAAGTTAGAAAGCATCTATAATGCCTCAGTGAAATGCATTGATGCTCTGGTTGAAGACCTTCATTTCATTTCATCTTCAGCAACTGTGTATGCTGTCAGAAATATCATTGATTCAACATTAAAGTCAAATAAATGCACTGTCGACCAGGCTATTATAGCTGACTTGGCAGAACAGTTGTGCCAGTCACATCCGATTAGTACAGCACTTGGAGCTGCTGGTCCACTTGGTACCGCTTTTAAGAGAAGAAGATATTTTAAGGAGCATTTCAGGAGTGTTGATCCTGTTGAATATATTCTTGATCCCCTGAAAAACAAGACATTTCAATATGTGCCTATCCTTGAGACTTTGCAGGAAGTCTTGAAGAATAAAGACATTGCAGAGGGACTATTGTCAAGACATTTGAACAGAACTGGATACATCGAGTCCATCTTTGATGGTAAAATTTACAAGGAAAATGACTTCTTTGCATCAGAGGAAAGCAGACTCTCTATAATCCTTTATGTTGATGCAAAATATCTAACTATCAATTTACTGTTAATAGATGGTTATTCTCAGGAGCTATCAGTTAGGGTAATATGTTAAGGACTGTACTAAATGAGTTAATAACACGTTTTCCTTATAAGGGCACAGACAAAGCTAACAGCCCTCAAGCAATTCCTCAGAACTACACTCAAAGAAGAACTATAGGGGGAAATGCCATGAAAACTGGGCTTTAATAAGGCTTTTGCCACTTATTGTCGGTTCAAGGGTACCAGAAGGTGATTCTGCCTGGCAGGTTCTTTTAACAATAAAAGACATTGTTGAATTGGTTGTTGCACCAGTTCACACAGTAGAAACTATTGCATACCTGGACTTTAAAATATCTGAACATCATGACAGATTCTTACAAGCTTTTCCTGAAGAGAAACTGATACCCAAACACCACTTTCTGGAACATTACCCTTCACTGATTGAACACTTTGGGCCTTTGGTTGGTGTATGGACAATGCGTTTTGAAGCTAAACACAGATTTTTTAAGCAAGTTGTGAGGCACACCAAGAACTTCAAGAATGTGTTGCTGACCCTTTCAACGAGACACCAAATGATGATGGCATACCAGAAGCACACAGATGATGGACAACAGCCACTGTGTGTTACAAAAATATCTGAGGTGCCACTAGATGTGCTACATTCAGACTTACAAGAAGCTTTAAGAGAGAAATCACCACTTCTGTCTACCGTGCAGATGGCAAACACCATCACCTACCATGGAACTAAGTATGGTGTTGGGATGATCTTGTCTTTTGGCTCTACTGGTGGACTACCTGACTTTGCAGAGATTAGTCAGATAGCAATTTTGGACAACTGTGTGCATTTTATCGTAAAGTTACTTGCCGCTTGGTATGAAGAGCATCTAAGATCATTTCAACTGGAGGACACTGGAAAAATAGCTCTGTTGGAGCATCAGAAACTTGGTGATGTGTACCCCCTGCCTGCATACATTGTGGGAGGAAAACGCTTGGTCACACTCAAACGTCACATCCGATGTTCCTTTTAGGTAATTAAATTATACTAATGCTATAACCTTAACATATTACCCTAACTGATAGCTCCTGAGAATAACCATCTTTTAACAGTAAATTGATAGCAAGGCTGTAAAATTGATGCCTATTTAATCTTTACCCCAATTTTAGCACGTGCAATTTATTGGAATTGATAATGAAAATTATTTTTACATAAAAAAGCAATGTTTTGTCACTCAACATGCGTATAAACAGCATGTTTGATGGAGGTCTGTGTAAATTATAGTTATTATAGAGTTTAGAATAGCTTGACAAATGGTAAATAAATGCTTTCATAAGCATATACCAAAGGATAAAAATACTGCTCAAAGCTTGCACTTTCACAGTGCAGGAGACAAAATGGTGATTCTCACCATTAAACAGCACAACTTCTAGCTGCTTAATGAACACTAAAATGAGGAAACAATAGATTCAACTGCAATTGCAGAAAAAATACATTTTACTTTTGATTAGTTATGAATTAAACCCTTCATTACAAACCTCAGAGTCGGATTTACAGAAACCATAATTTATTTTTAGTTCATGTACTTTTTCTAAATGTTTAAGCCATTGTTTCTTTTATTGACTTGTCCCTCATGAGCCCATTTAATTTGGTAACTGAATCCTCACTTGTCCTTTACTATTTCAATATGTTTTATAGTTTATTTTAGTTATTATTGCAAATACTTTTTATGTTAAGAGCAAAATAACCTTTTTTACAGTAGGTTAACTAACTATCAATTTAATATTTATAGATATGTTTGGGCTTCTGTCTGTGATGCTATTGAACTTGTCTTTTCACAGTCTTGAGAGGAACACAGAGATGGAGGCAAAACTCTGAATATTGATTGATGACCAAATTGAGAAGTTGATCCTTCCATCAGGCATCCCATCCACTGTGGAGGAGCTGCAAACTGTTGTGAAGGAGACTTTTAGTGTATCTGACGAGTTCAGTCTTCAATATCTTGACCCAGAATTCAAGGATTTCTTTACTCTCAGAAGAACGGACCAAATCAAACACAAGGACACAATAAGGGTGGTCAACTCGTCTTCAGTCATTCTCAACTTGTTTTCAGTTGATGAAAGTTTAAGCAGTTCCTTTGGCCAGACGACTACTGACTGTGATTCTGCATCACTTGCAGAGTCATTTACTGGATCGTCTTCATCACAGGACACTCTTATCTTGCAGAGGCACACAGAACGATATCAGCCATGGCCAAAAATGTTTCCCATTCCCCAATTTGCTTATGAAACTGAAATGTACATCACAAGAGCCATGGAAGAATTCAAGAAGAGCGGAACTCTCCTGACTATCTCAAAAATCAAGGCAGATGTACTTGAGAAGCTAGCTGAAAATATATATACATATACTGCCTATCCATCCAGTGCTCAAATAAGCGATGTTGCTGAGGCTCTTGTCACAAAATTTCCATGTCTCAAGGAACCTGGCTCGTACTCTGGATTCTACGGCTGGCAACAAAGCATAAAATACAAGATGGCCAATTATCGCACCAAACTTCGTGGCTATGGTGTTCCTGAGGTTTTATGCAATGCGCAAGAGCTGCTGACCAGACAGCTAAAAAAAAAGCCTCGAAAGGCTGAGATCAACTACCTCCCTCCTTACCCAGCAGGTGAGGATGAAAACAGCAAGAACAAGTGAGGATTCAGTTGCTCAGTGAAGTCATGAAGAGGGACAACAACAAGATAATTAAAGAAAAAATGGCAAAGACATTTGCCCACAGAAGAAATGAAATCATCAACTGTTCACCATGCATTGAAGACATCAAAGCCAGATGGCCAGCTCTTTTTGAGCCATCTCATGTGAGTTACATATAGATGCTATTAAGAAATATTTTTTTCTGTTGTAAATGAATTCACTAGTGGTTGTGGATAAGAAGGTTGATGATGTAATGTACTTGAATGAAGCATATTAACCAGCTGGATAGTTAGATGATTTAACCCAGAAGGTAAAGAATCCATAGTTAGTTTTAATACAAATCATACAAATAATGATAGGACTGGGATTACATGTTGTATAAAGAAATGTAAGAACAATATTTACACTTGAAATACTTTAGGGTTTAAAACTGATTTCTTGTTTGTCTCTCAGCTTCAGGATGAGTTTCTTAAGATCACGATGGTCAGCCTTGAATCCCAGTTCATGTTCAAGCTTGATGAATACACTCCCAGACTGCTGAAAATCTTCCACTCCAAGGGCGGAAGTATGGGTTTGAAGTTACGGTCCATCCTACTCAAGGTATCCTCAAACAATTTTTCTGTTAGGCCAAATTGAAGTTCAGACATTTTGTGGTCAAATTACTCTAATATTACCAATTTTAGGATTTGGAAAATATGTGATCTAATGCCTCTTGCGCATGCTCAATAATCACATTGCAAGGGTATGCGATGTCAGTCATGTGACCAGAAACAAGTTATGCTGCCATTTATCTGTTGCTTCATTTAAAATAACTCACCAGTTTCTCTTTAACCATGAATAATGATAATGATAACAAAAAGGTCTGATATCACATAAGTTCAGCCTATCACCAGATCACACAGAGAACTGACTGCTTTACATGCAGAATGTGAGCAGACATATATGCTGCTGTCAAACAAATCTCTCTAGCCAGAATTTCTGTGACTCCCTCCAAAAAAGAGCCATGTGTTATTTTATAATGCATTGTTGTCTTGTACTTTTAGTACAGGAATTATATGCCAGTTAGCCAGCTAACAAACTCTATTAACCTAATAATAAAAATGCAGTTTAAACAGTTTCAAGGTTAAATGATTATTTTAAATCATGAATTTGGTTGATTTTTATTTCAGGTTCCCAGCAGTCCTACCATCGATGAGAGTAGAGAGGCTGTCATTCATTGTTTGTTGGCTTATCTTGGGGAATCTACTGATCAGCTCTTGAAAGAGTATGATGTAAGTTTAAGTCCATCTTAAAAAAATGCAAGTGCTGTCAGTGTTAACGCAAGTTGTGATTTATTCAGAGACCTTGATGCAACTTTTTTTTAATGCATTCTGTGTGTGTGAGTTCAGGTAATTCTATGTATTTCTACAGATTTTGGACTTCTGCATTGGCTCCATTTTCCAACAGAAAAATGAAAATGCTAAGTTTTTAAACAGCATCAACTCTGTTGTAGTGTAAACTGGCAACAAGCAGTTCCTCTAAAAACAGAACTGCATGTGCTCATTACGCAGCTATTAGTGAGTAGGTGTAGAACAACAACCAAACCTTCTTAATGCCAGCATCTTTCTTCAGTTGTTTTCAATAGGTAGAGAGCGCTTGCAGCCGCCTGAAGAAAACAAGCTCTCTGCTGTTTTTGTGCGGCTGCTCCGAGCGCTCAAGTTAAAAATCTTTCAACCTTTCAGAAAGGCGCTGTTGACGTCACAGACGCTCTTTTCAAAATCTATGATATACCCCGTATTTTAGCCTCCTACAGATCGTATCTTGTACTCACATCCTCTTTGCTCCGTTTCTGCTTGGGTAAAAAATAATCTCAAATATAAAACATGCAGTAAAAAGTAACAGAGCTGTGTCAGTCTTACAGCTGCCGTTGTCAACAAACTGTTGTCATAGAGAGAGGACGGATGCGTGCAAACGCTCCGAGTGCACAGCCAGCGCTTTACTGCCCAGAAAAAACGCTAGCTGGACACGGGCCTTAGTCACTGTTTAAGCAGGTGAACTATGTGCCATAGCTTTGATAGACCAAGGCTATATTGTCCAAAGGGGTGAAGAGAATTTGGTGATTATTAAATAATCAACCTCAATTTTATCGTCCCCAAGGGGAAATTAGTTTTTGCAGCCAGGTGAAAACAAATAAGGTGTGGATCACACAGGCGCATTAGGAACAACATTCAAAAATGTTAAATACATAAATACTCCCTCCTTATTAGAGCTCATTAGCTTGATCGCCTGAGTTTATAATAATGACCTTTGTCTGTGGCTGTACAGTCTGATATACACAATATTCTTGTAATTCCAGGATGCTGATGAAGACAGTGTGGCACGGGACCTGGCTGTACAAAGCATGAAGATCTACAGAATCAAGACCAATGTGTCAGAGGACCCTGAAGACATTGGAATTGTGGTTGACGGTGTCAAAGCTCTTACTGCTTTGAAGAACTTTCCCAGGGCCTGCTCCATGCTTGCTGGGCTGACATATGCAGTGGATCTTGCCTATCCAAAGGAGCTTCGATACACATTTGAAGTTTTCCAAAAACTCCTTCTTGAACTGGATAGTTCAAAGCTGTCCCCAAAAGTTACCAGCCTCAAGAATAAACTGTTAGCTTGAATAAAGGGACAATTGAAGAATGAGGTGGATGTTAAAGTCACTGTCAGGTGTTAATCATAGACGTTCAAGTTCTTGTTAAATGCATTAATTCCACCGCTCCTGATAAAAAAAAAAACTCGTCTGAGGATTTTCTAATGTTTTTTTGACTCAATATTGGCACAGGAAGCACTTTTTCTTTCAAATGTTAAAAAAAAGCTAAGAATATTCTGTGCTTGTGATGGACAGAGTTTATTGTGCAGTGTTGTTAAATGCTTATAAGCTTTTGAATCTTTGAGTAATGACAGGTCTTTGTTAGTACACTGATGGGAGCCTAGTGACTATGTGAACAAGACCTGTGTTAAGCATTGTTTACCAAAATGATACACCATAAGGCCAGTGGATGTTCTTTGCCTGTAGTACAGCCTTTTTTTTGTAGCTCCTCCCAATATTTTATATTTGCATAATATAGCACTAAAAAAGGTTTTATAAGCTTGTTTATAATACATGTTTTGTACTGTCCTTTAATGCACTGTGATCTTTTGTAGTGGTATTAAGTAAAGCTTACTACAAAAAAGCCAAAGTATTGAGTAGATTGTGCTTAGAAAATGTATGGCAACAAAGTGACAATCAAATGTATTGAATAGATTTAAAGCACTGTGATACTTAATGAAGCATAAATTTAATCAATTATTCTAGATAGAAATAATTAGGAAAGGCCATGTAAATGTGTTGAATTGATTGTTTTTATTAATGTTACTAAGTGATTCCAAATATTTTTATGTAGATTATCCATAAAAATAATTCAATTTTGATTCAACAATTAGTAAATTAAAATAAATTTCTACCAAATATTAAGTACATATTAATAAGTTTCCACTATATTTTCAGTAAATTTGAATTAATTTCCAGCAAATACATAATTAAAAAAAAGTTAAATTTCCTCAGTTACCCCATAAATATAAATAACTTTTTCGTGAGAAATTGTGTTTGATTTACTTAATTTTTTTTGCTATATAACTCATATTTTGGCATCATATTACTAAATGCAATACATTTAAACACATTTTAAATAGTATGTACTAATTTAGGTTTTTTTAAATAACTGTAATAATTCAGTAGTTTTTTAAAGTTGAAGAACTTTAAATCTACTTAATAAATTTACGTGTCACTTTGTTGCCTTAATTTTCTTAAGTAACTAATAGTCAAACTTTTTACGGTGTTGTTTTTATTTCTATCTTGTTTTATTTCCTGTTTTGGGTCACTAACTTCTCCTCTCGTTTCAGATCCGTCACTTCCTGCCCTCATGTGTTTCCCACCTGTGTGATTGTCTAGCTTCCCTTCCTTCTGTGCCAGTTCGTCTTCGACCCCTGTGAGAAGCGTTCAAGCCTTTTGTTTCCCTTTGATCACTTTTTTGGATTGTATCTCTTCAAGAGTAAACTGTTTTTTTTCCCCCATCAAAGTGCGTTGTGAGTCGTGCTTTTGGGTTCAGTTACCTGTGGTGTTGTTAATAGACTGAGACAGAATTTCCAGCATGGAGACGCATCGATGGACTCCAGCACCCCTGCAGGGACAGGCGGGTGATGTCACTCAGGGGTGTACATTAATATTTACAGTCTATGGTTAGGCCCACGAAGGAGGCTATAGTCCTCCAAGCAGGCGGCCTGGTTCAAGTCCGGCCTGTGGCTCCCTCTCATCTCATGTCAATCCCCAGCTGTCTCCCCCATCTCCTACTCTCCTCTGTCCTATCAAATAAAAGCAAAAATCTTTACAAGTCTGAACATTATTTTGACTCGCTTCTATTTTATTCTCTTGAATGGTGATGCTAATGAAGCTGCGTGCATGTGGGCGTCACTTTAACATGTTGAGATGTGAGAGCTGGAGCAGGCGGCCCTGGTTCAAGTCCGGCCTGTGGCTCCCTCTCATCTCATGTCAATCCCCAGCTGTCTCCCCCATCTCCTACTCTCCTCTGTCCTATCAAATAAAAGCAAAATAAAAGCAAAAATCTTTACAAGTCTGAAACATTATTTTGACTCGCTTCTATTTTCCATTCTCTTGAATGGTGATGCTAATGAAGCTGCGTGCATGTGGGCGTCACTTTAACATGTTGAGATGTGAGAGCTGGAGGTGAGGAGAGAGAGAGATTAGAGGATGAGGTCAGACGAAGGAGAAGAGAAGGAGACGAGGCTCACAGCCGGGGCACCCAGCATGGCCTGCAGTCTGTTAATGAGAGCAGATAAGGTGGTGTGAAGGGGTCGGAGTTATTACAGCTCTGTCTCACCTGATAACACGTCCTCCTCCCTCATTACAGCAGCTCACCTAACTCAACTGTGTGTCTGCTATGTCACATGCCTCCTCAGCCCTGCTAATATATGCTGCTAGGTTAGTAAAACATCCTTTCAGAGATACGTATTCTGATATGTTAAATATGAAACAGTGTGTCGTCATGTGACCAAGATCCACTTTGATGGGTTTGCATCTCCTGTGGTCACTTTTCACTTAGGTTATAAATATATTCTATAATATTTTAATTAGGACATCGTGTGTGTGTGTGTGTGTGTGAGAGAGAGCAACCCTGTTGTTCGTAAACACAGAAATGAGCCTCAGTTTGAGAGATGATTTGACAATCATGGCCAATTGTTTTTTCCTCCTTGTTTCACATTCAAATTCTTAAAAATATATTAAAAAAATGACATGAATAACTTAAGCTATAAAAAACACAAAAAGAACAACAGTTTACTTTCAAACATCATATCATTTGATCTGTGATACTGTACGATAAGTTGCTTTCTGACCTCCACCTCATTCACCAGCTCCTCCATTTCTGGGTCAGGAAGTTTCTCTTCCTCGTCTAACTTCGGGTTGCCGTCGTGATCCAGCGCTGGAAACCTTCGATCTGCCCGCTCGTTTGTTTTGCTTTTTCACTCACAAGCTGCTCTGCATCGACTGCCTATGGTTAAATGTGGGCGTGTCGAGGGCGGAGCATAGGAATGATCAACGTGCGCACATTTCCGGGTGGAATGTGATTTATAAAGGGAACGTTGGGAACAACGGTTTTTGTAACGTTTTGTAAATCTGGATTATTTTAGGCAGCACATACCCTTTGAATATAGATTCTGCACACTGTTTAATGAATAAGACCTCTGCTCTTTTGTAAAGATAAAATAAAGATTGATAAAGAAAAAAAAGCTCATGTTGATTTGGCTCTCAGAAAGAAACAATGAGATCACTCTCCTCAGAAAGAGAAGTGGTGGTGGCACCTTTTTGTTGTTTAAGATGAACAACCGGTGCCATTTTATACGAGACTCTTTACCCAGACACCGGCTGTTAAGTTTGGTAAACTCACTCTAAACTTCAATTTAGTTTGAGTCTCCGAGCAGGAGCTGTCGACTGCATCAGCAGTTTTCCCATTCTTGTCCTCTCCTGCATCCCCACATACGAGGGGCTGAGCTTTTCACCGGAGACGGGAGCTTTGCCGAAGAAAATATTAATGCAGCGAGGAGGGATGTGGAGCAGCCGGGGGAGAGCGTATTTGCATTATTACCTGAGACTGTTTGACTGTGTGAGGCCTGGAAAAGATGATTTGTGAGGCTTGAATGCTCAATTTTTTTCTTCCCCCCAAACCTTTTCTGTCTGCTCCCACACAATAGCCTGAATCACACGTGGACTCCCTCAGCTGTGTTATCAGGATGTGTTTGTGGTTATTCAGCATTTTGAGCTCGTCTGAACACACAGTATTCACCCCCCGCTAATGCATAATAGATAGAACCAGCTTCTAATGGGAATGAGAGCGTTGTTTGTTCATTCAGGACGGAGAAGAACCCACTGTTCTTTTGACTGCATGGTGTTCATTTAATAACAGAAGTAACTCAATCGAGTCATAATCGCCTCCGCTACCCTTTATGAAACTGCCCGGGTGGAGTCTGGAAATGAAAGCCACCACATTATCCTTCTTCTCAGGTTCATATTTGAGGATCTACTCAGAAAGGTTTTCATGCTGTGATGATTCAAAAACACATACTTGTATGTGTGCTTTTGTCAGAGTGAATAATGCTGCAGTACATATTTTAATCCTCTTACTGAAAAGCTATTTCAGCTACATGAAAACAAAGATCTCCATTTTGCATTTAACATCCAAGAAGTCCACTTTTATAGACATTCAGTTTAACATTTACGAGTTGGTCATTTTCCTGAGGACACATTAAGCTGTCGATGATTCACCCTGACTCACTAATCGTGTTCAGCCTCTAAACGGTTTTACGTCCCTCCTCATGATTTTAAACAATCCAAGTTATCAACCAGGTCATCTATGGACTCTTTGCACAGCGGCCTCTACCATCAGTGCGTGAATGTGTATGAATGGATGAGTTAATACTGATGGACTCTTTACTCAGCAGCCTCTACCATCAGTGCGTGAATGTGTATGAATGGATGAGTGAATACTGATGGACTCTTTACTCAGCAGCCTCTACCATCAGTGCGTGAATGTGTATGAATGGATGAGTTAATACTGATGGACTCTTTACTCAGCAGCCTCTACCATCAGTGCGTGAATGTGTATGAATGGATGAGTGAATACTGATGGACTCTTTACACAGCAGCCTCTACCATCAGTTTGTGAATGTGGATGTGTGACATGCGGTGGAAATGTGCTTGAGTAGTCAGAAGACTAGAAAAGAAATGTCGATGTTTTGTTTTTTTCTGAGACGCCAACATCGACCCACCTCTTAAACCACATAGAGCGTTCAGCTCAGGGGAAGACATGTCGCTGCACGGATACGACGGTTTTTGAAGTGACAGGAGCCATTTAGCGGTCCAATTCCTTGTTTGAGCATGTTTGCTTTGACATCTCCTGCAGACCGTACTCGAGTACGCACAGGGTTGGGAAGAACTGGATTACATGTAACAGCGTTACGTATTCAAAATACAAAATAAGAGTAACTGTATTCCGTTATAGTTACAGTTTAAATTAGTGTATTCTGAATACAGTTTCTTTCTCAAAAAAAGGATTACTTGTAGGGATT